ATCTTCAGTCTGTGTCTCTGAAGTACTTACATAACTTGTGTTTATAGAAGTGAAAGGGAAGGTGTTGCTGCCCAAAAGTCAAAGGGAAAAGAAGAAGAGCCTTTCAAATATTGCCCTGTCTGTGATTATCATCAGAGGATGGTAATCCAACAGCACCAAGATTTACATATTCTTGCTTTATCAGTGTTAATAATGTGAACTTTGCAAAGAACAAACACCTAAAAAAGTTTTTATTCTTTACAGTGTAGTTAGAGTCCTTTCTATTATGGATGTTTTGTATTTTACAATATTCTTGTGGGTACGATAATATTTATTCTTGTTTGAAACTTCTATTCAGTAAAGACTTTTAACTTCTGTTAGCTTGCTTAATTATGTAGAGATCAGGACTTTTTGTCAGTCAATGACAGATGTTCTACATAAAGGTAATGGCTATTGAAATTTATGTCATACTGTTTTTTTGCTAATGCTAATAAGATCTGCTATTAATAACATTTCTTTTGATGGACATCCTATAATTATAGCTGTCTTCATCAGCTAGTCCAGCATTTCAGGATTTGTCTTTTCATAATCTGACAAAATAAATTGTTTTAATTCATCATCTGTTTGAACATCTAGCACTGAAAAAAAACTCTTTGCAACAATTTCAGCAGGTAAAGCTGCAGTGACTGGGAAGAGGTTTGTTGCTGAAACACTGAGGTGATATGTGCCTCTAATATAGCCATTCATTGCTGCTTTCATAAATTAATTTGTGTCCTAAATGTAATTTGTTACATTGAAGTATCAACTGGTGTATATTCACCATCCACTTTTAAATAATTATAAAAGTTTTTTGAGGAATTCAACAGTTCTAAATTCAAGCACAGATGTTATTATACAAATGCTAAAAAACCGTGCATGTGACTTTTTTAAAAGCAAAATAAATTTTATCAAAATGGTTACATTTTAAAGTTCTTTTTATGCAGTAACTATTTTATAGTAGCATTTGGTATTTAATCAGTCACAATTAATATAGTAAATAAGCTTCCAATAATTGTTTATGTCTGTAATGGTGTTTATGGATATATCTTTTGGTAGTAAACAATTTAAGATATTCATAGAAAGGGACTTGTGTCTGATATAAAGTTTATACTTTATTGTAAATGTCATTAATCACCATTTATAGGAGAAAAGGAAATACAAATTAAAAAATTCTTAGAGAAACTGGCATGTTGCTTCAATTGTCAGTGAGTATTTTGATCTGTTGCCACTTCAGGAAAAAGAATTTGTGTAGATGAGTTTTGAGTTGACTCAGTATGACCTGTTCTAAAGTCTCATGTTTATTTATTTCTATGAGATAAAAAATTTTGTGAATTTACTCAAACCAAAATGATTTGTTTATTTATTTCTATGAAATACTTGCTTTTATTTCATGATCAGTTTTCTAATATGCCTGCAAACTTTTAATATTACTTTTTAGAAGCTTTTTTTTTTGGAGTTTGTCATATATATATATATATATATATATATATATATATAGATATATATATATAAAACTTCAAAGTATTATAAACCTAATCAAGCAGGCCTTTGGTTCGCAGGCCTTTTCTGTGGTACCACTCAAGTCAAGGAAAAGGTCTGTTCTTTTCAAAGAACTGAAGTGTATAAGGAAATGCTGGATTAAATATTTTGCACATTTTTTTATAATCCTTCAGCATTAAAAAATATTATCATCAATAACTTGTTTCAGTTGGATATCATTGATGAGATGTTGGATTATCCTACTTTGGAAGAAATTCAGAAAACCATAAAAGGAATTAATAACTGTAAAAGCACCAGGTCTTGATGGCATTCCAATCAAAGTTTTACTTCATGACAGCAACAAGTTTGCTGTAGATTCACTGTATGATTTCAGATATTTGGTCAGGGGCACCTGTATCTCAGGATGGTTGATATGATCCTTATTTCCTTGTTTAAGAAGAAATGGTCAAAATGGGTGTGGGGAATAGGTAGATAAACATGCCTGAGGTAGTGGGTAATGTTTTTGCAAAGCTTATACTCAATAAGCTTACAAGATAGATTTGACTTTACATCATTCCGGAGACACAATATGGTTTCAGATTGGGAAGAGGCACAATGGATATAACCTTCTCAGCCTGTCAACTGCAGGAGAAATGTATAGAATATCATGTTGCATTGTATCAGGTCTTTGTCAGTCTGAGCAAGACCTTTGACTACGTAAGCAGGGATGCTCTCTAGACTATTCTCAGTTAATATAGGATGTCATCTAGATTTTGTAATAATGTTCAAACAAATTCATAGAGAAATGAAGGGGTGACTTAATTTCAATATTTCTATAGCCACTGACAATGGAGTTAAGCAAGCTGACATTCTTGCTCCAACTTTATTCTTTATTTTCTTTGCTGTGGCTCTCATGCATGCTTCCCAGGATTATGAAGTTAGTCTGTATCTGCATTTCAGGACCACAGGTAAAATTTTTAACTCATTTAAAGGCTAAATCAAAGGCTCTCCAGTTAGTTATTCAAGTGTTACTCTATGCTAACAATGCAGACCTTGTTACTTATACCAAAAGTGACACACAAACCATAATGGACTATTTTCTGAGAGTGTGTTTAGGCTAACCATCAGCATAACAAAGACTAAGGTTATGTACACCCCATCTCCAGCTTAATGCTATGTCAAATCTAACACCTTTATTCAAGGTCAGAGGCTCAATGTTGTTGATACCTTTGTCTACCTTAGAAGTACTCCTGTTAGAGATGGTTCTTTGGATTTTGAAATCAATCTTAGAATCAAAAAAGCTAGCAAAGCCTTCAGTAAATTGGAAAAATGGGTCTGGTCAAACAAAGAAATCTCAATCAACACTGTGTCTACCAATCGTGTGTCCTGACTGCTCTCCTATACTCTTCAAAAATATGGATTATATATTGCCATCATGTCAAAACCTTGGAAAGATTTGATCAAAAGTGCCTTGCTCCTATCTTAAACATCAAGTGGCAGTTTTTTTACACCAAACACAGTTGTTCTGCAATGGACCAAAACACACACCATAGAGAAACTGTATATTTGCAATCAACTGTGCTGGGCAGAGCATCTCAGTAGGGTGGGAGATGAGAGATTGCCTAAGTACCAGTTTTAAAGAAAGCTCGCTCTTGGCAGGCATCCCAGACACAAACCTAAGAAATGTTTAAGGATGTTGTTAAATATAAACTGAAAACTCTTGAAATAAGTGTCAAAGACTGGGAAAAAAGGCAGAGAATAAGTCTGGTTGGAGAAAGCTAGCTTTTGATGGCTGCAATTGTTTTGAAGTCAAAATCTTTGAGTGTTAAAAATTGTAAAGCGCTCTCAGGAAAGGTGATGTAGACTCGATTCCAGAAGATATTCAGTCTGAACTTGTATGTAACATCTGTGGGAAGGTTGTTCTCTTTCATGCAGTCATCTAAGACTGTAAGAAAATCGCCAGTTTAATGCAAACTGCAGGGGTATTTATGCCAGTTTTGTGATAAAATTTGTAAGTCTGCTGCCAGTGAACAAGTAGAAAGCCATTTGAAGAGATGATCACCTTCTGTAAAATATATATATATATATATATATATATATATATATATATAGAGAGAGAGAGAGAGAGAGAGAGAGTGTATATTTAAGCAGCAAGAATTAAATAAATTAGATCTGATAAGGTCTGCTTAATTTTTTATTGTATCATTCCAAATTTTGAATAAGTTGTGGCACATACTGATGAAATTCTGTCTAAAATTCATGTTTTTGATCTGGTTTTGTTGGAGTACTTTAGCAGAAAGTTAATTTATGTGGGTGAAAGGCACCCTTTTGATTGGACAATACAAAGTGTATATATTTTTCAAATCTGAAAAGAAATTACAAACAGTTCGCCATTCCCGAATTGCAGTATTTCTGAGCCAATTTTATATTTAGAAACTAAATGTATCATATCAAATTTATTTTTATTAACCATCTGGCTTTCTTCTTCCAAAATTAAGTGTAATAAACCTATACAATTTATTTATTTATTTATCTACACGTTTTAATTAATAATTACTTATTTTTTAACTATTTTATATTACTAATAAAATTTTTTAATAAAAATTATTTTAAAAATATCTACTTAAAAAAAAAGTAAAAATTCATTCATTTTCTGAGCTTTTGTCACTCCAATAAATTTGTTTTTCAGTTCTATTTCATATAGTTTTCCTTCTTTTTTGCTACATCTTTCTTTTAAACATAAAATAAAATGTGTTAACGGAACAAGAAAAAGAAAGCTCAAAATAAAAAATGATAAACTAAAAATTAAATACAATCAAAAAAGTTTTTAAAAACTTTATTTTTAAATTACAGAAGGATCAAACGTTGTTTAAAGAGTTTTATTACAAAAGTTTTTTTTTTTTAAAGGCAACTTGATGATGGGAATTATTTTCGATATCAATGTGTTTTTTTTTTTTTTATATCACTTACTCTCTCTACCTCTGTTTTCTTCTTTTCCGCGAACTCAGTCAAACAAAACAGTTCGTATGTTGCTGCATTATCAAGAAATAAACACTGGCTGGACAGGTATCAAGTAATATTGTAACTGATCAAAATCATTGCAGTATTAAAGATGAAGATTAATTTTTATAACCATTTTAAGGATTTTAACTCGACTATTATTAACTATTCTTTTAACTGCTGTTAATCATTTTGCTGCTTCTTGTTGACTGGACGGCTTTAGATTATTCTGGTTATTACGACATAAAGCGCATCCTTATACTAGGGCAGGCACTTGTGCTTTATTTTCTGAAATTATAAAATCCATTCATTTGACTAGCGTATTCACGTGTTAATTTCTACTCTTTATTGCAAGCAGTTTATTTAGCACAAGAGTAAGACGGACAGACATTTTTTTTTTTACTTTAAGCTAAAAAAGTGAAGGTGGAAGAAAAGAAAAGTCTGCAAAGATGACCACAATAGTTTTTCTAACATCATTACTAGCAATCCCCATATCTTATTTTATGAACAACTTGTTCTCTCTTCGAGAACCGTTGCTAATTCTTTTTGTTGGTGTACTTTGTTTAATTATTGTTACACTTATACCTTATTTTCACATACGGAACCGACCTACAAATAATACGGATCCTTTCTACCATGGTGAGTTCATTTATATTGCTTCGAGACATTTTTTCTTGTATTGAAATTAAAAATAAATGGTGTCAAGATAGATTTATTAAAAATTTATAAATTGCTGCTGTTACCTCACCTGATTTTCAAAGTTCAATTGTTTGCAAGTGAACAGTTTATCTTTTAACGATTTGTTTTTAAATTAACAACTATTTGAAAACAATGATTTTAATTTTTTAAATATTTAATTTCACATTAAAAAAAAAAGTTTTAAAGTTGACCGAACATGGTTCATTTGGAGAAAAATTGTTCAATTTTTTATTCAAATCAAAAAATATGAAATTTTGTAAAAACGTGAAACAATAAATACAAAACTGATTTTTAACTTTTTACAAATAAAGTCTGAGGTTTTACTGTTTTTAAAACAAATATTAAACTACAAAAATGGAATTATGTTGTAAACAGAAACTTTTTTTAAAATAATTTTTTTTGTTTAAAAATTACTCTATATTTTTATTTGCAAAAAGTGTTTATGATTAAAGACTTTTTTGCCAATGAAAACAGTTCCAGTTCTAAAGAAATTATGAAAGAACTGTGTTTATTAAAATTAAAGACCACTTTCAACGTAAAATTAAACATGAAAATAATCCTCATTTGAAAAGCTTTTTTTAAGCAACGTAAGTTAATTTAATCAATTAAGTTAAAAAAAGTATTTTTCTAAAATCCAGGACATGACAAAACAAAAATAGACATTTATTTAGTTTTTTAAATTCCAATAAAAAGAAATTTATAAGATAAATCTTTGTAACGTTTTTTTTTTTTTTTTTTTTTGTTATTTAAATAAATTCATTCTACATTATTTTTATGCTATGGACACGTCTCCTTTTCATTACTTTCTAGTAGCTATACTGCATACAACTTATACAAGAAGATACGCTTCTTAGTCTTAAATCTCTTTTTAAAAAGTAAACATTGAAAATGGCCGCTTTTGATATTATGTCACGTGACTTTTTTCAAACATTTTTTTTCCTCTACTGATGTATTTATTTTATGGTGACATTTTTGGTCCTCCATGGCGTCCTGATTAAAATTGTTAAATTTTAGTTTACTCGTCCAGATAATATAATCTACTTCAAATGAAGTGTATTGAATTTACATTTCAACTTCTTGAATCCAGTCTCTTTGATTTGCAGTAGTTTTTTCTTTTTACTTTCAAAACATTGAATTAAACGAGCGAAAACGAAGCACAATGTAACCCAGTCCTTGTGTGGTGTCTTAAATTTTATTTTTTATTTTTTTGTCAAAAGATCTAAACTAAAACATGTAAAAGCCGAAGCGCATGGCAGTTTACTCTAAAGACGGTAAAAAATAAAAACAAATTTTCTATTTCTTTAAAAAACTGAAACCGATATTAAAATGGGAATATTTTTTATTTTTTTTAATAATGTTTGCACACGACTAAGATTTTTAATCGCATAAATAAATAATGATTTCACCAATAATTTTCACTAGAATCATGTTAAAAAAAAAAGAAGAAAAAATCTACATCAGTGTACTGTACATTACACGTAACACTTAGGGGTCTTGGCAATATGATTTCCAAGAGTTAAGGTTAGGAGTTGGGTTTTTAACTTAAGTAATATTTCAGTTAAAAAATATTGCTAAAATTTTCAGTGCCAACGCTTGGAAGTAACATTTTCCAGCAAAATAACATACTTGCATGTTTTTCACGTATGTTTCTTTCTACTACAGACAACTTTTTACACTTTTTTTAAATAGTAAAAAAAAAAAAAAATGAATATTTAAATTTTAATTTTTCAAAAAATTTTCACACGAAAAGTGATGTCATTGAAAATGATTTTCAGATTTAAAATTAAAATGTTGAATTGAAACTAAAACATTATTTTCTTGTTAATATTTTTATTGAATTAATTATTTTTTATTCCTCAACCGTAATCTATACTAATGATTTATGTTTAGCATAAAAACGCATATGATGCGAAGCTAATAACATCAATGTTGGTATCCAATCAATGTCTATCAAATATTTGTGAAATAACTGAGTTTTTTCTCTCTAAATCCTTTATTTTTTTTTAACCATACAATTTTAAAGCCACTCCTTTTTTTTTTAAACAAGATATTCTGCTAAACAAGCAAGGAAAATATTTTTAAACATGCTTAGCTTACAACAAACTTTAGCTTACAAAAATTAAATAAAAGTAATTAGTTCTCATTTATTTTCTTGAATAATCTGGCAAAAATAAAATTAATCAACCTTAATTTTTTGTAAATATACTTCTAATTTTTGTTTCTGAAAAAAGTATTATTTTTCTAATTTTTATTATAAATGTTCTATAACTTTTTTAAAAAATTTTTTTTTTTTAATAATTAAGTCACAAGTTAAAGATATAATTAGTCATTTTAAAAATTATATCATTTAAAAAATATATTTATTAAATGTAATTCTTACATCAAGAATATTGTTATTGGCAGAAGTGATTGACCTTTTTTTTTTTTGTACCCATTTCTACCTTTTTCCTTACATCTAATTAAGTTTGAATATTTTTTTCACATTTAAATAAAAATCAGTTGAAATGTTATACTCTGATTCATTGTGAATGCCATGAAAGCAGAGAACAAAATAACAGAAGTTGTTTTCTGCACATTAGTCTCCATGCATCACATCTGGTCTATGAAGCGAACTCTGGCAGTGGCCAATTGCAAACGTTCCTGCTGGAAAAAGAGATTCCCCTGGAGACTACCAGAGCCAGTTGTAGCCTGGCAGGTCACCAGTTGGCATGCAGGGTGCTATTGCTACTGCTGCCATCAGCATTACTGCTGCCTCTCAATGTGATTGCTCCTCTTATCAACTGTTGCTTAAGCTTTGACTGGCCACCTTGACTGTCTGGCTTCAGCCTGACAGCACCTCATTCACCCGACTCATAATGCTCACATCCTATGCTTTGGCAAGGTCAGATTCGTGACTTCTCCCAATTTTTAATACTCGCAAAAACCTTGGCACAATCAATATATACAATGCATTCCCTTGCAGCCATCACTGTGGCTTTGTTTCACAGAACAGGCCTACCAGTTCTGCAACCAAGCGACTCTAACTCTGCAAAAATGCAATCCTCCACTGTCATTTCGGCCTACTAATCTGACGTCACCTACGTTCCATAGAACAGGCCTACCAACCAACAAGAATGGCCTACCACTGTGACCTCGATCACCCAACACATACCAGCCATACCCTGTGACCTCACACCAAACCCACACAAGAATTAGGTCAACTCCCAGAACTACCCTTATATCCGACCTCATCTCTGTATGACATACTAACAATAAACGTTCAAATCTAATTTTCAGTATTTCTTTCTCTTGCAACCAAATGCTTAATATAACGTAAATAACTTAAATATCTATTTAAGTATTAATTTATTTGGTGTTTTACATTTCATGTTTTCAAAATTGTATTTAAGATCAATATAAAAAAAATTCCTTTTGTGCATTTTGAAAAAGCATCTATTTTGGCATTTATAATAATTTATAGAAAGTTGTTTTGATTTTTCTGTCAATGATGCCAACTTTTTTGATCTCTCTCTAGTGCCAACAAAGCAGAAACCATTAATTCATTATGTAGTTTTATGATACCGCAATATTTTGTGTCTTTTGTAATTTTAAAATGTTTATTTTTGTTGTGCATAACTTATGACACCTAATAAATTCTTTGTAAAATTAATTTAAATAGATTACATTTTAATAAAAATTTTAGCAATTAATTGCTTGTTAACAAATTTATTATCAAATTGTCATTCTAATTTAAGTATGTCTGGTTAATACTTGCTTCAATTTAAAATTAATGCTTAGCTTATTTTTTACTTTTTCAGCCCTGGGAATATTTACCTTTAGCTCTGTAATTGATCTAATCATTGCTTTAGAAAATGATGGCATTATAGATGACTTTATGGATTTTTATCTTCGGGAAGGAGAGCCATATCTGAGAACCTCACATGGCACCATGATATGCTACTGGGATGGAATTGCTCACTATGCCATGTACTTGATTATGTTGGCTGCTTTGTCATGGAAGTAAGGCTTTTTTATTCAGTATCATTTTATTTTATGTATTTAGTTTTTGTATAATAGAATTTTAAGTTTTAAAAGATGGAATTTAACAGTACATATAATTTTTTTAAATAGATTTTTAGAGTCTTTTAATAGTTGAAAATGGAATTATCAAATTTAAGCTCTCACATTAGTGCTATTTATTTCAAGTTTGTGTAGATAAATTCTTATCTACATTAAATTTGAATTCCAACCATAAAACTTTATTGTAATGATTTTTATAACTTACCACCAATCTAGCATTAATATATTCTGAAATTAATTTGTATCTTAAATTTTATTGTGCTTTTATGAAATTATAAAATAAACAATATTGATATTTTCTAAATCATTTATTACAACTAGTTACAAGTATTTAAGTATTAGAATTCTTTCCATATTTTCTTTAATAAGATTGCAAGTTGTATGTTTTTTTTAATTATGCTCCCATAATTAATCGTGTTATTCTTGTTAGCTGATGCTTCTTTAAAATGGGAAAACTTGCATCATACAATTTTTTTAAAAGCAATCCATTTTTTTTTTTTTTTTTAATTCATCCTTGCTGTTACTGTCTTGTACTATATCAAAATAAATAGATATATCAATATTGTACAAATATGTTGATTTCAATTTTCCTTCTTTTCTCTGCTGGTTGGTTAATGGTTGATTATGTGATATGGACACTGAAATAATTAACCAGAATAAGTTCTTTTAAATTATCAAACTCACTTTGTAAAAATTAGTCTTTTTTTCTTTTTTTTTTTTTTTTTTTTTTTTTAAGATTACCTGATACAATTTTGTTTAATATATACCCTCCCCCTAGCACATGCATCTTGAGAAAATTAACTTAAATTGATTATTTTTAATATAAAGTCTTAACTATGCTGACTTACTTAGGATTGAATTCACCATCATTGGCTAATAAATTAGACTCTTACTCCTCAGTTTAATGGATTTGTTTTAAGGAGTGGCAGTAGCTTATTTGCCTCACTGCCAAAATGGATTTAACCATTAGACAGTATTTGTTTATTGAAATTTCTCTATGAATATTTTTCTGTTTGGTGAAGAGCTGTCACTCTGTCGAGCAAGATCCTGTTTTAATAAACTTTTAGCAATTATTTATTTTATTAACTATTATTTATTATAAAGTCAAATTTTTGGAATCCTTGAAAATTATATATTGAATTTCTTTTGTTACCTTTTCTACTTTGTACGGAAAAGTACAAGTAATTTTAGATTAATAAAATTTATTGAAATCCAAATATATAATTTTCTATGTTTCTTTTTATTTATTTATTACAGCCAGAGGTATCGTAATGTTGGCCTCTACTGGGCTGGTTCTATTATTCATAGCATGTTAGTTTTTGTTCCCGGAAGCATAATTGGTAAGTATTATTTATTTATGTATTAAGATTTTCTAGTTTGAAAGTTCTCTTTAATTTATAAAACATTTTTTTATCATTTTTTTTTTTATGTACATATTCTGATTTGGTTTTTGTTTTAAAGATTTTTCCATTGTTTTCTTAAAGAATTAATGATTACTATTGTTTTAAAACATTTTACATTGATTATTATATTTTATTTTAAATTTCATTGGTATTAGCAATATAATTCTCTTTGATCAACTTTGGTGTTTTGCCCTTTTTTCAAAGATCAAATTTAATCACTTTGTTCATCTCTCTTCAACTGTTAAGTAATGGAAAATATAGTGTTTAAATTTGATCAGAGAAGCAGTTATTAAATTACTTTGTAGTTATTTGGATAGTTGTTATAACATGCTTCAGCTTACCTGCCATGACGCCAGCATTAATTAGTCTGAAAAATGATTCCAAACGGCTTTTTCTCACCTGACCTGGAGCTTTTTATAGTTATGGACTAGTTCATATAGTCATTGGGAGGTGTACTATCTACCCTGCCTTTTGAGATTAATACTTTTATAAATATTTTATTTGTTATTAGTATTAATATCTCCCTCTCCTCTTTCTGAAGAGTTTGTCAATGTACTTGACTTTGTAGCGTTTCCATCTTGGATCCACTTTTCTTTTTTTTTTTTCAGCTGATTATGGTATGGTTCCTTTTATGTTCAAATCTTTTCCCTTTTACCATCTAAATCAACTTCTCAATTCTTGCTGATATTATGCTGTCGTCCCATGTTTTTTGCCATCCTTATAAGCTCTAAAGAATACTTTATCGCCAACCTTGAAACTGTTGGTGTTGTTTTTTTCTATCCGTTCCTGTTTTTTGATTTGTTAATAACTTGTCAAGCACCAATTTTACTTTTCTAACAAACATTAATTCTGCTGGCAACATACCTGATGGTATATTACGGTTAGGTGTTACACAGTAAATTCTCAGAAAATTTTGAAGTGATTCCACATTTACTTTCTCAAGACTTGCTTCCTTCAATGCTCATTTGAACATTCCTACAAATCATTCTGCTTGTCTGTTCGACCTTGGGTGATACGGCTGGGTCATAATATGTTCAATGGAAAGCCTGTTACAAAAATCTTCAAATTCTTTACCTGTGAATTGCATTCTGTTATCAAGTATACAATATCTCACAAACAGCTCATGTAAGAAATTCACTGTCACTTAAGATGGATTTTTTTGCACTTATAAATTTCTGGCCATTTAGTGAAACTATCAGCCATCACAAGATAATGTGATCCATTCATAGGACCTGCAAAATTTATATGCAATCTTCACCATTATGTATCTATCTTTGGCAAAGGTTCTATCTTTGCAATAAGTAGTTTTGCTGCAAGCTTTCACTATTTTTTCAATATCTTGGGCCATTCTGGTCCAATATATGAAACTTCTCCTCAAATATTTCATTCTTGAAATACTAGGATGTCTATTATGAAAATCCTTCAATATTCACTTCTGTAACACACTCAGTATTACTACCCTTTGACCAAAGATTACTACACCGTTGCATAGCAAATAAGTGTTTAAGTCTGGATTTCATTCTTTGTTACTTTCTTTCAATTGCTTTTTAATTTTCACAATAAAGATACCATTTTCCGCTTCTTCTTTTATTTCTTCTAGCGTAACTGGTAACTCTCATACTGCATTGCACAAAATGTTTTTTTATTTTCATTTCGCTTTTTAGTGCTGCAATGACTGTGTCCTTATAGCAAAGAAAACTGTGACTTACCTCGTCAAACCAAGCAACAGCGCATCGTGTGTATCCTACAATGTAAAAGAAAATTACTTACCAAAAGAAAGGGCACATATTCCGTAGATGACATACTGAAGACGGAATATTTAGATTAAAACAAGTCCTTCGAGGAGTCTCTATAAAAGTATTTTGACATGCAAAATTTTGGCATCCCTCCCAGTTGTTGAATGAAAAAAATTAAAAAAACTAGTAGTGGATAAAAGCTATTGGAGTTTTCAAATTTGAAGGGAAAAAAATTTGTATTTTAAAAAGTTGTGTGGACTCAAAGAGTGAGTTATTTTTGATGTTGGGATAGTCATTGTTATGCTGCTATTAAAATAGAAGAACCGGCATTTTTTCTGCCTTGATATTCAAGTCCAAACTGGAAGATATTTTTCGCATCATGGAAGTGGTCTGATGGTCAATCGACAAATATTTCCTTCGGATGCCCAGAACCCAACATCCATTAAACATCAAAGAGGAATAGAACAGTGAGCCCAGTGAGACGTGGCTTGGGTTCAGTTGCATTCCAATCCTGAAAAAACCTTGGTCCCCCAAAAGCCGAAACATTGTTGATAAATATGGTGCAAAAATGAGGAAAAAAGTCCAAATAATGAACATCAAGGAATGGGAATATTGCACAATTTGAAAAAAACTGACAATTCCACAGAAACTTTTCCAAATTTAAATCAATACCAGATGTTTAATCATATTAAATCAATAATAGTTTTATACAGGTTAATATTTTTAGATATATTTTAATAGTTTCAAAGTTATTAATCTTCAGTAAGATATTACTTATAATGACATTGTTGATTCTTTTCTGTGTGCCATGGCTCTCCACAGCTTCATAGAATATTAATTGTGAAAAAGGATAGAAAAATTGAAGGAAGCGATTAAAAAATAATATAACACAGGAAAATATAATAATAGGAGCTATATTTCGAATGGCTTGATTTATAAGTTTAATCACTTATTGCAAAAACAACAATAAATTGAGTCAGATATAAGTTTAACAATATCCTTGATGGGCTTGATAATAATTCAACATGATCTTCATTCTTGTAAATGCACTTAATGTAGTAATGAATATTAAACTTATACCTCTGATATATTGAGTGAAAATTTCTGATCAAAACTCAGCTAATGTGAAAAAACTGTTACTGACTGGCCCTTGTATATTTTTAAACATGCTTTATACAGTGAAATATACATTTTCAAAAAGCAAGTGTTTTATGATAATTAAGTGACAGTTGACCAGAAGAAAAGGACTTATGATAAAAAAATATTTTATATTCTCTATAATTTAACAGAAATTTATTTTAATTCCCTGAGATATTTGCTGCATTTATTATATTGTTAAGACAGAATTTATTTTGATTAATTTGCTTTTTTAAGAACAATATGTTGGCTTGCGAATATATCATTTGCCCAACAGTTCTCATACAATCACTGAAGCTATTCAATGTCAAGCCCAGTCAGTACTAGATGGGTGACCACGGAGGAATACCAGGTGCTCGGAAGATTGGATGTGCATGAGTGGTATAATGGAGACATTGGAATGCTAAAAAGCAAAAGTTCCAGTTCCAGTCAGGATTCTTTATATTCATTTAGTCTATTAGCTGTTGGGAAAGCATGAATCCTTTTGTTCCCCACCAGTTATGGGTTAATTAGTCTGACTCAGGTTTAATTATTATCTCAAAAATTTCTTAAACTGAAAAATTTTGAAATTTCTTTAAATAAATATAAAAGGTTGATAAGCTTTTTTATAAAAAAACAATCAGTTAAGTCTACAATCTGTAAAGAAAGAGAAAACTTTCTTAGATTTGAGTTGGATGATCAAACTTTTGCTGATTGGGTTTAGTTTCTGGTAAAATATTTCTAGTCTAAGTCTGGGAAAATTTAGTGACAAAAGATACCAGTAAGAAAGACAAAGATAAAAAATGTTGACAAAACTAAGATGAAGAATTTGAGCCAGATTGATATATTGTCTTGAAGATTTGATCAGGATTCCTGTTTAAACTAACAAAATTTTTTCCTGCAAGACGATATATCCAGTGGAAATTTAAAAAGAAATAAAATAAAAATGAATTTGATAGTAATAAAAAAGAATAAGTCTTGTAAAGTAGTCACATTTGTTAGAGGCATGATTAATTGGATCTGCCCAATCTCTCTCTTTTAGTAACCATTTTAATCAACAATTATCTCTATTTATTTTACTCTCCTTCATTAGGTCTCACTTTCTCACTTTTTTTTTCCCTCTACATCAATTTAGTCTCTATCTGTCTCAAAATTCTATCTCCTCTATTTTCCCAACATGTTGTTCCTTTTGATTATATTTTATCCATATATGCCACAATAGAATAAGTAAAACAGGATCTTTGCATGGAATGCACATAAACCAATTTTTCAAAATTCTTTGTCTCAGGACATGGCTCTCCACAGTTTCCTCACTTTTGTTGTTTAGTGATACTTTTAATTCTAAATGATGCCCTTTTTTCAGTGTGATATTTGTTCATTTGCAAAAATTTTTCAATTATGTTATTCCCCATTTTTTTTATTCTCTTGTGTTTTATGAGTATTAAATCTTCAGGACATATACGATCATGACTCTCCACTACTTCCTATTCTTTGTAGTTCAAACCAGTGTTTGAACCTTTTTTTTATCTCCCATTCCATCCATTTATACAATCTTATTAGGTAGGTTATTCAATGTTTCTTCTGTCCTTTTATTTTCAATATGTCCTGTGAGGAGCAAATACACCAAGCCTTCTTTCCTCATTCTGTGCACCGGATATTTCAATTGTTTCTTTCTGATTCTAAGTACAAGACTCCTTTTCATTCTATTTTCCTAAAAAATATCCTTGTTTTTCATATGCTCAATCCTTGGTGTTCTCAGTATCCTTCTATAGAACCACATCTCTGTTACCTCATTTCTTTTTTTCAACAATGAAAAAATCATCTCATTGGCATATAGGAGGACTGAGATTATGTAGCAGCTCAGCATCCTTTTCTCTGTTCCTAAAAAAATTTCCTGTTTCTTAATATTTTGTTTAGCTTTTGAAAGACATCTTTTACTATTCAGATTTTAGTGTCATCTTCTGCTAAAGCACTTCCAAGATAGTTAAATTTCTGATGTGTTTGAAAATTTTATCTGTAATGTTTTGATTTTTATGAGCAGTTATGATTTGCATTTCACTCTGTCTTGTGAAAGGATGTGAGGGGGTAATGGTTAGTGGCTTGGAATGAAAAATTTGGAGCGGGAGTTCAAATTCCAGCCAGGTTCATTATATCCATTTATGTACAAATGATCATGGGAAAGGTAGAAACCAATCTTTTCCTCCTAACTATGGGGTACAAAGTAGGATTTGTTATCTGGAAAAATCATTGTTATTCTCAAAATATTGTTATTCCAATATTCACTCACAAAAAAGAATTATTCTTACAAGCTAGGATATATTTCAGCTTTAAATAACCCACCAAGGGTTGATAAACCATCATAAAAAAAACATATCAGTCAGTCAGTCTTATTAAAGTCAAATGGTAATGTGAACAACAATAAAATTTATTATAAGCTCCTTGTTTTCCTAGCTTTTTTCTTTAATGTGGCAAGTTAAAAGAATTAAAATTACAATGGCCAGGTGATTATTAACTTAAGTGATTTTTAAATATCACCAGATTAATCAGAAAATACTCGGATCTTGAAAACCATTAGCAACACTGTATGACTGTCCTAGGTGCCAATAAATTAATTATAATTTATCTCAAGGTTTCATATTATTGTCTGTTGACTAGATTTAGTGACACACTATGACTGTCTTTCTTTTATTTTCTGGTTCGCATTTTTGCTTTTAGTATTCATTAATAAATTTTTAAATGTTTCATTTTCTGACATGAAGAGTGTATTTTTCATATGAGATATTGCAACTCTTCATTGATTTCTTTCAAGTGAACTTTCTTATTTTTGCTATTCATTGGTGCATTGCAACCAAGAATGGATCAATTTCCAATGAGCTTCACACACACAAAATCTCTACTTTTTGTATACAACTGATTAGTGTTTGTATCACTGTTCTGATCTATGGACTTTGCAATTGTACTAAAATGTTATTTATTTTGGGTTGTTTATCTTAGAGCAATAGACTTGTTGATATGTATATAAGTATACATTTCAATATATCATGCATGTGTTTTTATATATATATATATATATATATATATATATATATATATATATATATATATATAATGGTAACAAATCCATTGATATATGATCCAAGTGGATCCAAGTAATATAAAAATACTAAAACTGATCCAAAAAAGAGCCCAGATTATTATTACAGAGCAAATAATTAATAAACAATAAAATCACCTCATATGGGGAATAGTCTATTTCAGCAGATGAAGATATCGGTTGTCTGTTTTATCAAACCCAGTGTGGACTGAGTTTGTGTCAGAAATAGAAATTTAACTGTAAAAGCTAAAAAACAGAAACTTTTCCACCAACGAAAATATGAAAAATTATAATGTTTACATTGGTATTTCCACAGGGGAATGGAAATAGAGATTTTATACCCATAGGCATTCACTTTCTAACCTTTTAAAGTAAAACACCAAAAAAAATTTGGGGAATTGAAGGAGAAAGGTTTGAGCCCACGGATGGTTTGGAAGATTATTGATTCCACACATACTTTAATAGTCTTAGAGATAGGTGTGATTTATGTTTAATAGAAAAATTAGAATATTAAAATCCAATAATCAAACCCAACTATTGAATCAAAGAAAAGAATTAGTGTTAAAATGTTGGCATAAAAAATTAAAATTTCCATAATATAAGTTTAACTGCTATATTTCCATAATATTCACTCCCCATCAAATGTCGAAAGTATTACTAATTCTAATTTCTATATTCTCCTGCTATAACCTCTTTACACTATCTTATTTACAATTTATAAACTTTCCCCTACTCTAAGATCTCCACAACACTTTCCATTAATCCATTACATCATTTTATCTATAT